CTCCATCAGGTGCTCAGAGCCTGGTCCAATCTGAGCTTGGGTGTCTCCAGGGATGGGGCTTACGCCACATCTCTGGGCAGCTTGTTTCAGTGCCACACGGTAAGGACTTTTTCCTTATATCCAACCTAAATGTTCCCTCTTTTAGTCTGAACCCATTTCTCCTCATTCTGTCACCACAGAGCCTGCTAAAGAGTTTGTCTCCTTCTTTCTTCTAGCTCCTCTTTATTTAAATGCATGGATTTTTGTTCTGGGTGATGCCATGGCTAACTAACTTCATGCACAGAATGGTGAAATTCAATTTGTACTACAAACGAAATCCAACAACACCCAGAATGACTGGATTTACCATGAGGGAGGTGATTCTCATCTATGTTGCATCCATTTTTAAGAGAAACTTAAGTCCTGCAGGACCATGATCTCAGTGCACTGATTTCCATCTGGATGAATGCCACTGGCTGTGAGCACCGTGCCCAGCCACCCTGCACATGGATGGAGCTGCAGACTGCTCCAGAGCCTCATGTCTAATGCTGTGGCTAGTCTGCAATGTTAGATTTTTTGTAACTGGGCACTGAATTTGTTTTATCGTCCTCCTGACTCATCTGAACTTGTGTCCAGCAAAGCCCTTCTCCTCTCCTGGAAAAGCTCTGTGAATCTCTGATCATGCTTTCTTTTTGGAAAGCTTCTGTTTTTCCTCTCCCTCCTACCTTGCACTCTGGAACTTGCAGCCCATGTATGTTTGTCATAAGTAGATACTATTCCTTAGGACTTGAGATTCATATCCTTTTTTCCACCCTTCATTTGCATTCTTTACTTTGCTTTGTTGAAATTTAGACAGTAATATCAGTGGGGTAGGAATATGTAATTTTACTTTTGCGTGCAAAACACACCTACCGTGCTATGCAAATAATGCAGGATCTGTAGTGTGTATTTTCATGGGCTGCCAGTGTGTTCTCTGGAAGAGATCTTCTTGCAGATGGACAGACAGCATGGAAATCAAGAGGAATTTGCAACTTCATTCCCAGAATGTAATTACTTTGTGCTCTTTGTAATGTTCAACTCATATGGAGCACCAACGCTCAGGTAATGTCAGATATCACGTAGGCCTTGTGGCTACTCACAAACCCCCGAGGATTTGGGCACTTTAAACATGAAAGTCAACAATCATCAATTCTCTGGGAGCCCTGAAGTGGTAGAGGTAACTTTGCCTCAAAGCCATGTTGCAACAAGACTCTGATCCCATGCAGTCCTCTGAAGTTTCTACCTCAGCCTCTTGGCTAACTTCCCAGTAAGGATAATTGGATATATTCTTTTCTGCTCGCGTTTCCACTGCTTGTTAAGTGCTATGCAGTATTGACTCCACTGTTACTGGCTTAAATATGGAGCAGCATCGCTGAATGCCATTACCTGTCCCAATGGCAGTGGTGTGCGAGAGAATAGGGGGCAGAGAGAGGTTGTGTGAGGCTGTGCAGGCTTCTTCCAGATGAAAGACCTTGTCCTAGGAATATCAGGTTTTATTATTTATTTAAGGGATGTTTTCATGACACTGCAATTTCTAACCCAGCGTGGTGAGGCCATAAAATAATAGCAGGTCTGTTTGGAAGAACGTGTTTTATTTGGCACATCTTGGGAATGGCAAGTACAAAGAAGGAAAATAAAATTGTGATGTTTATGGCAGCCGAGCTCTCTGTCCATTGGTAACCACTTACCACAAATAACTGCTCGCTGGTGCCCACACATGATATTTTAAGATGTGAGCTCTTAAAAAGAAGCTCTTAAACTTTGACAATATTTAGTGCCGTGCAGCCTCCTGGCCACCACATAATGACAGCAGTGTTTTCAATGAAAATGAATCTCATCACATTCTGGTCTTTGCTGAGACCTCACATCAATCACTCAACCCCAAGCAGTGCCTCGCACCTCTTCAGTTCCCACAGCCTTGCTCTTTCCATTACATTAGGCCTAATGTCTCTTTTTCGCCTTCTTCCTTGCCTCCTACTCTCTGAGGAAATAAAGCTGCTAGATGAACAATTCTCCCACTGATCTGGAGGGAAACCAGATCCAGTCTGCATGCCAGATACGATGAGAGCATTGTTACAGACTGCTTCTTACAATAAAACAAACTGGGCCCAGGTAGCAACAAGATCAAAGAGCAGGTAAGGCAAGAAAATGTATTCTTGCCCCACACAAAATTAACTGTGGGACTCATTGCCACAGGATATTGAGAAAGACAGAAATAGATTTGAAAAAGGCACTGAGCAAATGAACGGAGGCTGGATTCATCGCTCGCCATAAGCGCCATGACTCAGGTGAAAGCAGCTGCTGAGGAGCACTAGGAAGCCTGCAGCCCTGGGCATCCATGGCTGGTCCTGCAGGAAACATTGGCTTAGAGCCTCTCCTGTGTACGTTCCAATTGTGCCACTCGTTAGGACTAAAGCAATTACAAAACATAATTACACACTCCTGCAGGTAATTCAAGGTAAAGCTTTGCCATATGGATGGAACAACTCAGTTCTTTCAGTTCGTCGTCCACTTTCCTCCCTTTCTGCCTAGTACTGTGCTTCTCCTACTCTGCTGTCGTATGTTTTGTTCGCATGCTCATCGGGGATCTGGCTGTTTTTGTTTCTGCAAAGTTCTCTCGTGCAACTGAAAATAAAAGCTTTTTTCATTTGCTCTTACGTTCTTCCAGCCCTTGATATTCCCACAAATGATGGCTCTCCTTGCTTCTTCATGTCCTCTAACCAGGGGACAGTAGTGCTGTGCCAAGTCTTTCTGTCAAGCATTGCTCTGGCCTTCATAAGGAGCTTGGTACTGGCGCGGTCTGCAGGCAGCTGCTGCTGGAGCCCTGGTTCACAAAGAAGTGAGGCCAGTGCTGAGTGCCTGGAAACTCTTTCCACGAGACTCTTTTGCTTTGAAAATCTCCCACCCACTAGTTGTTTTGAATTAGGGTTTTGGCCAGGGATCACTGAGTTACACAACGTGGCATGAGAACGTATATTGCAAACAGAACACTAAGCTGTGCAGTGGCCATTAGTTGCTTACACGGCACTTTAGCAGCACTGAGCACGTCGTGATTTGGATAGCATAGCTGCAGTCAGCTGAAGTTTTTACTCTGAGATGGCAACGTTTCTTATCAAATATTACGATACTATGAAGGAATGGAAAAGAGAGAGGTCACTGCTGCATAAAATGTGTGTATCTCGTTCATTTTCACTTGAGATGCTGTATAAAAAGAAGTACTGTTTGTTTCAATGCATTGTTGGGGAGGGCAGCATCTCTGCAATGCTCAGTGCCACAAGTCACCAGATGTCCTGGTGCTACAGAGTGCAAAAGGCCCCCAGCAAACAACCGTGGGCACAATGGGGCTCTAAGGAAAGGGTGGGTTTGTACCAGGGCTATCAGCAGCACAACGGGGCAATTCAGCTTCTTGGGGTGGCAGACTGCAGCAAAAAGAATGAATGAATGAGGACAGATGAGCAAGGCTTGGCTTGTGCAGGCTGGCACACGATAATGCTATTGGTCCTGTCATTTGATGCTGGATGAAGAACACAGACAGAAAGTGCTTTCAGTCAGCTAAGTCAGCGTAGGACGTTGGTGGGGTTATTTTCTGGTATTTTCTGCCACGTTCCCTCCTCCCTGACTCACTCCTCATCTCCTTTCATCTTGTTATTCTCAGCTATCAGGCAACAACACGACGATTCCTGGTGCCGCCGCTCCAGCAGTCACTGTGCTGATCGATACAGCCAGAAATTCTCTGCTTGCTTCAAGCAGGTTGGGCTGCCCTTGAAAGCACTAGAAAATGGGTGGCTGGCCTGGGGCATTCACAGTGGAGGAGAGGTAGAGGCAAGACCTCGAGAAACTGGGTCACTCTGCTTGGGATAGAATCATAGAATGGTTTGGATGGAAGGGACCTTTAAGATCATGTAGTTCCAACTGCTGCTACAGGCAGGGACACCTCCCTCTAGACCAGGTTGCTCACAGTCCCATTCAGCCTGGTGTGAATGCTTCCAGGGAGGAGAAAGTGAGCATGCACTAAGGAACCCAGTGCTGGGCAGCTGAGCTTGGGGAGGTTGGTTTGTTCTCTGGGTGACATACTTTGTAAAACAGAAATCTTAATGTAAATAGTAGCAGATAAAGGATTTTTAAAATGGCTCATTGCCACAAAGAAAAGGAGTTAGGCAAGCAAACAAGCAAATGCAGCTGAGAGAATGAACATCCCATAACTCACAGGACGTTTATTTACTTACTGGGACACAGGTGTGAGGCTGTTCTTTGTCTCCTTCTGAGGGTTGGAAGAAAGCCTGTCTGTTCCTGCCACGCAGGTAAAAGAACTTGAGTACTGGGGAATATTCTTTAAAGTTGTGCTTTGCTGCCTTTAGTTTTTAATGAAAAAGCACACGCCGCGTGGAGAAAAAAGAAGCCCAAGGATCTGCCGAAGTTAAATAAATAAAATCTGCCAGCAGTTTCACACAGGGCTCTGACAACAGCTTTCATTTATTCTCTCACTTCTCCCTGAAATGAGCTGAACTTTGAATGTTGGTGGATTATTCTCCCCAGCTCTGCTTCCTGGCATGGATCTTTGCGCATTGTCGCCTCTCTGGCATTACAGCTCTCCATAGCCCCTGAGCCTGCAATGTTGTTTGTATTTTGTTTGTGTTTTACATCTTTCAAAGGTTATTTTTTTTAAAGTACTTTTTTTTTTTTTAATTTTAATTTTAGCCAGCTCAGACCCTTCCACTGAGTTCTTGACCATAGCTTCTCTGAGCATAGAGCAGGTAAGCATTTGGTGTCAGGGGAACTGATTCGGGGGAGAAATGGTCACATTCAGCTCCAGGAGGGGGGATGTGGCCTCAGAACTAAACCCAACTGTGGGGCAGCCCCAGGAGGTGCCTCAGGATCACAGGGTTACCAGGTGCCTCTAATGGAAGGCAGGTGAACCTGGCGATGGTCACCTCTGTGGGCTGCGAAATGGAGTCTGCTACGTGGAACTGTGGAGGCTGCAGAGCAGGGAGAGGAGCAGCTTGGGCACGATGCGCCGATCTGGCTAATGAGGGCAATAAAACAGGATTATCTGCTGGCCCTGAGCTGAGATTGTGGTAATTGCCAGATACTTTGCTTCTCCTTTGGGAGTAAATGAAGGCGGTGGCACGTGGAAATTACTTTTCGAGGCTAATTAGCTGGGAGTTAAGTCTCATCAGACGTTAACCTATCAGGTAAGTACACCCTGCAGCCCCCACACATTTGCTTGCCCCGTTGGTACCTGTCACCATAAATGACTGAATTCCCCCTTCAGTGCTTCAAATGCTTGCTTTCAGGTTGGTCTTTGCCTATTTCTGATGCTGCCAGAATGCATCAGGAGCTTTCCCAGCAAGAAGATGTGCTTCCTGCTCCATGGGTTGCACGATGTGAAGGTAGGAGATTCAGAGAGAGCCTCAGTCAGGATAGTGTGTTGATACACCTTAGCTATAACTATACAGCATGGCTGGAATGTTTTGAGCAGGAGAACAATCCCACCTTTGGAAGGGTCTGTATTTGCAGGTTTGGGCCTCACGGGGTTACTGGGAGCTTGGTAAAGAAACCAGTGACTGGGGAAAACTTTATTAGAGCTGACTCATGTGTTCTTGCCATACCTTGAGTCAGAACACTTGCTTTTACTGCCAGGGTCATCTTTCTGGCTGCTGTGCCTCCTCTGCCATGTTTGTGGCACAGATGGTCCTCTTGTGATTTCTGTGCACGTCCTCTCACAAATATGTTCTTCCAGGGGAGCCTTGTTCTAGGTGATGCTCTAGGCGATCTAGTTTGCAATGCTAGGTGATGCTAGTTTGGAATGAGCATTAATTGGAGAAAGCAGCAAAGAAGTGGGCTGGCACATGAAAATCCTTCTCTTGATCTCCCTGTGCTTATCTTTAATACCGTTAAGCTTACAATATCAAAATAAGTAATTAAGGTAGCATTTCTGTGGTCAGATTGAGAGTGCTTGCTTGGCTCACAGCTCAGCACAGCTGCTCACCTGACATGTCAGCAAGCATTTGCTGTGCATTGCATATGTGGCATGCTGCAGTCCTGCTGGCTGAGCACAGGAGTTTATCTTGCAAACTGCTAATAGCTTTGTTTGCACGTGTATTCCCTTTGCTGAGTGAGAGTTCCTATGATAAGAAGCTGTTTTGGAGGAAAGCAGGTTTTAGTGCTTTAGACACCCTTAGATAAAGCCTTCAGCCCATCCACTCAGAGGGAAACATGATGTCCTTTGCAGCTGGGCTCCATAGGCTGGGTGGTGTTTGCAAGGGTAAATATTTAGCATTTAGGAATTTGGGAATACAAATAGACTAATGCACAGGGTTATTCAGGGCACTGGGTTGCTCATTTTGAGGGTCTGGTTCTGGAGCCATCCCCAGCTGTGCCAGGAATGCCTTAAGCTGATTTCTGAAGGAAATGGGGGCAGTGTGCCTTTCTCCCAGCTTCTCTGTGCAAAGTGCCCAACTATCAGTACCGAAAGAGAAGGGGAATTAATGAGCCATCCCCACAATGTGTTCTTGTAACTGTGTTTACAAGGCGGTCTGAAGACACATACACACTCAAACGTTTAAATATTAAAGAAATATTAATAGATGAAGCAAACTATAAACTGTGTTCATTGTTTTGGCACCGCATATAGAGCGTGTTGTATTGCCTTCACAAATTAGCCCAGAACAGTTAGCTCTCATTACAAGTTTTAGTAACGCTGATTCCCATATGTATCTCCAGCTTCTATTAGTGAGAGAGCCTTACTTATATGAATGATGATTTAGAAGAGGGAAAGCTGAATTATGATGGCATTTTAACTGAAAATCTTATTTAATTTTATTTGTTTTGTTGGTCAGATAGCTTGTAGGTGCTCAGTTTAAAAAGGGGGAAAAAAAGCAGTGCTCATGGATTTTATTTTTTAATGTCTTTTTTGGATTGTGCAAATAATAATATACAAAATCAGGTGTATTTCCATAGCTGCCATTATCAAGTGAACAAAGCTTGTTATTAGATGTCCAGTTTGTCTGATTTCAACTGCAGCCAGGGGAATAATGGCTTGGCATTGTCTAAAGCAATGCCAGCCCAAGCTTCTCCATGGAAACTAGAGAAATTCAGTCTGGATGTTCAAGAGCAGCAATATTCACTTTTAATAAACTTAAGTATGTAATCATTTTTGGTCACATATGCTCAATTTTTCTACTTTTTGGTTATTTGAAAAAGTGCAGGTTTTCTTAGATATGGAAACAATACTAGGAAAATCCATGCTTGTCTTACAGAAATGATTTTGTTTATATTTCCCACAATAAGTAAGCATTATGTACCCTCTAGTGGGAGAGGAATCTCGCCTACAGCTGTTACTGTAGAGAGCCATTACTTGAACAGATGGTGGAGAAAATACAGAGAACTTTGCTGATGGGTACAAAAGTAGGGAGAACAGGACAGGGAGCAGGAACTCAGTGCCTTGAATTGAACTCAGTTCCTTGAATCCTGAAAGTTCTCTAAGTACAACATTGAGCTGATCCCCATTGAACAAATAATATAGGTGTCTATTTATGTTTTATTGGCTTCAGTAGGGCTTGCATGTGTTTGGTGACAACATACAATAAGCGTTTGGTTGAACTGGGGCTCCAGCTGCGGTTTCTAAATTATGCATAATTGTATTTGTCCAGCTTATCCTGATAGGTACAAATAAAGCTACCCTGTCTTCAAAGCAGCGTTATCCATGCTTGAAAATGGCAGAGAAATAGCCAAAGTTGGGTCATTACTCTTGGGTTCCCTGGAGATGCCTACTGTCATTGCTTCTCACGTGGAAGTGTGGTGCTCGTTAAAAGATCTGCCATCTCCGTGAGTTAAGATATCTTCACACCAAGGATGGACTATCTCCTGGTCTCAGTACAAACTCTGGTATGAAGCAGCATTTCACTGGTATTGCTGAGAAGCCGCCAAGCATATGGGGTCTGCCTGAAATGAGGGCAGACCAATGTCACATAGGCTAAGAATGCAAACTCTCTCTCTCTTGCTAATGCTCCAGTAAATTAATCAAGGAGGCATCTCTTCCCACAGCTGTGGAAAAATGGCAGACCATAGAAAGCAGGGCAGATCCTCCCAGCTGCTTGATGCTGCCTTGACTCAGCTAGGAGGGCCTGGCAGGTCATTGCTTGGGCAGGGGATCATGAGCAGCTCTCTCCTGGGGCATTGGCACTCTTTGTTCCTCAATTCCCCACTCACCATGGTGCATAGGATGCTCAAAGTCACACACAGCAGCAACAAGTTCAGCCAAGACCAGTGTGGCCCAAGACATCCTGGCTCTGTCTCTTTCCAGCAGCAGCAGGAAGTGGTTTCAGAGCTCCGAGTTTGGGTTCGTGCCACTGAAACAGGGATATTTTTCTGGTAAATAAAGAATTTGTGTGCAGCTTACTTTCCCTCGGTAAACACAGTGTGAGGGTATGTGTAAGCTTGATGCAAGCACAGAGTTCATGACTTTGGGAGGCTGGAAGCCAGGCAGCTACTGGCAACCACAGTCTGGTCCTTAGGTTTCACAAGCAAACAAGGCTGTATCGATGCCATTGGATACAGCAGCACGTCAAGCAGGATCTTCCATGGAGGGACAGGCTGGGATGGGCACAGAGCCCTGCCAGGCTGCCAAATGCTAAGTCTCAGTATGCCAATAGGGGAAACCAATGAAAAGGGCAGATGGAGTGCAGTATGCCAGTGGTTAAACCACGCTGTTAGGTGATGCAATTCATCCGTGGCACTGTAGTGTGTGCTCAGTAACAATCAATCCGTGCCTGATCTGCTAATTCTGGAAGAAGCAGCTTGGCTAGGAACTTTAAGGAAAGGGTAGTTGTAGTACTTAGGGGCATGGCTTAGTGAGCAGCATTGGTGATGGGTGGATGATTGGACTAGATGATCTTGGAGGTCTTTTCTTCTTTCTTGTCCTTAATGATTCTATGATCTATAAAGGGTCTCTTGCCTGTATTGTGAATACAGCACATAGTAGAGTTGGTTTCAGGAACGAGAGCCTGATGTTGCAGATCCCCGTAGCACACAGCAGAGTGGGGCTTCTCAGTCACTCAGTTGTTTTTCTAATGGCTGGCAGCCACCACTCGGATTTTCCTGACTAACCACATTCTGTCCCAAATATATTTTTCTCCTTAATCAATTTGCTATGGAAAAGAGATTGCAAACTTTGTGCACAGAAATTCCTTGTCATCACTGTAAATTCGTGTTTCCCTCATGAAACTACCACTTAGGGATGTTTGTGGTGTCTTCAAGTGTCTTTTTCTCATGGACAGCTTCAAGGTTAATAGCTGCTAGTAGCAGCTTTCTGAAAGCTTCACATCAGACACAGTAACTAAAATCTAACATTTTATTCTTTATTAGTTTGCTGTCTGGGGAAACTTCACTTTTTTTATTTTTTTTAGGAGATTAACAGGTCGTCCAAGCAAGCATTCATGTGAGGTCAAAGACTTCTGTAAGCAGAACTATGTTCAATGTTTCCACTTCCAAGCAATTCTCAGCCCTCTCATTCCATCAGCGTGGGATTTCTGACAGCTTTTGGAGTGATGTTTCCACTCTGTATATGAGCAGAGAGCAGCCCTGCCAATGCTGCTGCCAGGCTGCATGCATTGCTCCTCATCTCTGCCTAATTCTGCATGATACTGCTGTTTGTCTGAAGATAGCTGCAGTTTTCACACTCTTCCATTCCTTCTACAGATCTTTTTTTGATGCATTTTGATTATTTGTCAGCAAATATGTAACTGGCAGTGACAAATGGACCCTCAACTCTATCATCAGGTTCTGCCAGGGAATATTCAGCAGCAGATCAGCAGGCATTAAAGTTGGGGACAGAGAAAAGTAATATGGCCCCAATGAGGCAAATTGGGAAAGCTCCTGTAAAGTTCAGCAGGATCAGGATTTAATCTCTGCTGTTTGACAGTAGGACAATGCTACATGGGGGAGAAGCTTGGAAGAAAAAAAAAAAAAGGCAACAAAAACTAAACCACCAACTCCTCATTATTAAAGAACAGTTGTGATCTCATGTGCCAAATGCATTTAATTATGATTTTTTCCAGTATCTCTATAGAACTTAGGGACACTGAGTGGGACCTTCTTTTCTGTTTGCAAAATACTTTGCCCATTGTGGGCACTAGGAGAGGAAAAAATTGAAATAAGCTGTCTTCAATTGCAATGTAATGGAAATGTAATACAATGGGAGAGGGCCGAGACCCGCAGGGAAGCCAATGGCACGACTCCCACTGACCTTAATGGGAGCTGGACCACATCCCACATGGCCTCGGAGACGTTGGTGGGAAAAAAAGTCTACTGTAAAACTGAAAGATGAGAATGAAGAAACGCATGAATTTCAAAACTTTGTGGCTCGAGTGGGAGCAGCGCCAAAACCTGC